TGCCCATCAGCAGCAGGACTGGCCTGAGGCGGGGCCGCAGCAGGCAGGGTGGGGGCACGCGGGGCGGCAGAGCAGGGACACGCAGGAGGCTGGGCGGCAGCAGGAGGAGGCAGGGGCACAGCAGGCGGGCCTGCACATGGGGCGGCAGAGCAGGGACACGCAGGAGGTGGGTCTGCAGCAGGGGCTGGGCTGGCAGCAGGAGGGGGGTGAGCAGGGGGAGTCCTCGCAGCAGACAGGGGTGCAGCACACGGGCTTGCAGCACACAGGGGTGCAGCAGACGGGCTTGCAGCAGACAGGGGTGCAGCACACGGGCTTGCAGTGCACGGGGGTGCAGCAGTCTTCCTGGCAGGGGGAGGAGGTGCAGCAGGCGGGCTGGCAGCATGAAGAGGTTGTGCAGGGGGAGTCCTCGCAGCACACAGGGGTGCAGCAGACAGGCTTGCAGCACACAGGGGTGCAGCAGGAGGGCCTGCATACGGGGCGGCAGAGCAGGGACACGCAGGAGGAGAGTCTGCAGCAGGGGCTGGGCTGGCAGCAGGAGGGGCGTGAGCAGGGGGAGTCCTCACAGCACACAGGGGTGCAGCAGACGGGCTTGCAGCACGCAGGGGTGCAGCAGACGGGCTTGCAGCAGACAGGGGTGCAGCAGACGGGCTTGCAGCACACAGGGGTGCAGCACACGGGCTTGCAGCACACAGGGGTGCAGCACACGGGCTTGCAGCACACAGGGGTGCAGCAGTCTCCCTGGCAGGGGGAGGAGGGGCCGCACAGGAGGGTCAGGCAGGGGGCCGGGGCGCAGGTCGGGGGCTCGCAGCAGCTCTCCTGGCAATTGTCCACCTGCCAGGAGGATCCAGTGCAAGCACTGGGTGAGCAGACGTGGCTGCCAAGGCTCAGGTCGCTGGAGCAGACGGACAGGGTGGACGCGGCAATAACACAAGTCCTAGAGCAGCAGGGGTCAGCCATGCTGGAGTTTTGTTCTGGGAGCCGAGCTGGACGGGGGTGTGTGTGTGGCAGGTGCGAGGGCGAGGTGTTCCGGGCCAAGGGCTTTTATATCCCTCCCTGGGGTGCTGTGCGTCGCCGGAGTCTCGACCGGACTTCCTTTTCCTTGTTATTGCCGGCGTGTCTGCTGACGATGCTGATTGGTTTACCTCCTGCGAGGTGTTTGCGGCACCGTCTCCAAGACCCTGAGTGTGTCTGGTGGTAGCTGGTGGCTCGTGTCCAGAAAGCAAAGCCTGGGATGCAGAGTTTCCGTTGGCTGAGAGGCCGGTGGTTGGGTGTGTCCACTCCATTTTCGCCTGTGTGCCTTTGGTGTGAATTCCGGTCTCTGCAGGTGCTCCGCACGTGGCCCAGACCCTCCTCGCTCTACGAGGCTGTGTTGGCCGGAGGGGTGTCCCCTTGCCGGCTCCACCTGCAGACTCTGGCCGGTGCGCCCAGCCCTGCCGAGTGCGTGTGACTCCCGTGGTCCGTTCCAGACCCTGTTCTTAATTCCCTGCTTATCTCACAGCTACCAAACCATGTGCGTTATTCTGTTCTCTCCCGAGTTTGCAGTTTCATTATTTTCTTTTAATTTTTGACTTTTTTCCAGTTTTTATGTTTATCACCTGGTGCTCATCCCAAGTGCCCTCCTTGATCCCCATCACCTGTTTCCCCCTCCCCCCACCCACCTCCCCTCTGGTGACCGTCAGTTAGTTCTCTGTAGTTAAGAGTCTGTTTCTTGGTTTGCCTCTCTCTCTTTTTTCCCCTTTACTCGTTTGTTTTAGTTTTTAAATTCTGCATGTGAGTAAAGCCGTATGGTATTTGTCTTTGACTACTTTTACTTAGCATAATACTCTCTAGTTCCATCCATGTCTTTATAAGATTTCAGTCTTTTCAAAGGCTGAGTAATATTCCGTTATATGCATATATCTATCTGTCTATCTCTGTATCTACACACACACACACACACACACACACACACCCCTTCTTGATCAGTCGATGGACGTTTGGGCTCTTTCCAAAATTTGCTGTTTTAAGTAATGCTGCTATAAACATTGGGGTGCACATATCCCTTTGAATTAGTATTTTTATATCCTTTGGGTAAGTATCTAACAATGCAACAGCTGGATCGTAGGGTCGTTCTATTTTTAACTTTTTGAGGAACCTCCACACTGTTTTTCAGAGTGGCTACACCAGTTTGCATTGCCACCAACAATGCAAAAGAGATCCTCTTTCTCTGCATCCTCACCAACATCTGTTGTTGCCTGAGTTGTTAATGTGAGCCATTCTGACAGGTATAAGGTGGTATCTCACTGTGGTTTTGATTTGCATTTCCCTGATGATGAGTGATGTGAGCATTTTTTCATGTGTCGGTTGGCCGTCTGGATGTCTTCTTTGGAGAAGTGTCTATTCATGTCTTTTGCCCATTTCTCCACTGGATTATTTGTTTTTTGGGTGTGGAGTTTGAGAAGTTCTTTACAGATTTTGGATATTAACCCTTTATCAGATATATGATTTGCAAATACCTTCTCCTATTCTGTAGGTTGCCTTTTAGTTTTGTTGGTTGTTTCCTTCTCTCTGCAGAAGCTTTTTATTTTGATGTAGTCCCAGGAGTTAGTTTATTTTTGCTTTTGGTTTCCCTGCCTTGGGGAATAAATATAGAAAAATGTTATGGTGGATGTAAGAGCAATCACTGCCTGTGTTCTCTTCCAGGATTTTTATGGTTTCAGGTCTCATATTTAGGTCTTTATTTTGAGTTAATTTTTGTGCATGGTGTAAGAAAGTGGTCCGGTTTCATTCTTTTGCACATTGTCGTCTGATTTTCCCAACACCATTTGTTGAAGAGACTGTCTTTTTCCCTTTGGATATCCTCCCTTGTTTTGTCGAAGATTAATTAACCATATAACTCTAGGTTTATTTCTGGAATTTTCTATTCTGTCCTATTGATCTATTTGTCCATTTTTGTGCCAGTACCATACTCTCTTGATGACTACAGCTTTGTAATATAACTTGAACTCTAGAATTATTATGCCTCCAGCTTCGCTTTGCTTTTTCAAGGTTGCTTTGGCTATTCAGGATCTTTTGTGGTTCCATACAAATTTTAGGACTGTTTGTTCTAGTTCTGTGAAAAATGCTGTTGGTATTCTGATAAGGATTTCATTACATGTGTAGATTGTTTTAGGTAGTATAGACACTTTAACAATATTTGGTTTTTCAATCCATGAGCATGGAATCTCTTTCCATTTCTTTGTGTCCTCTTCAGTTCCTTTCATCAGTGTTCTGTAGTTTTCAGAGTGCAGATCTTTACCTCTTTGGTTAGGTTTATTCTTAGGTATCTTATTATTTTTGGTTCAGTTGTAAATGGGATTTTTTTCTTAATTTCTCTGTCGACTTCTTCATTATCGGTGTGTAGAAATGCAACAGATTTCTGTACATTGATTTTGTATCCTGTGACTTTACTGAATTTATTTATCAGCTCTAGCAGTTTTTTGGTAGAGTGTTTCGGGTTTCTTATTTACAGTATCATGTCATCTGCAAACGGTGAAAGTTTGACTTTCTTCTTACTCACTTGGATGACTTTGTTGTTGCTGTCTGTTGCTAAGACTTCTAGTACTATGTTGAATACAGTGGTGGGAGTGGACATCCCTGTCTTGTTTCAGACCTTAGGGGAAAGGCTGTCAGGATGATGTTAGCTGTGAGGTTTTTATATATTGCCTTTGTTTTATTGAGGTGTGTTTCCTCTAAATCTACTTTGTTGAGGTTTTTTTTATCATGAATGGATGTTGTACTTTGTCAAATGTTTTTTCTGCATCTATTGAAATGATCATATGGTTCTTATCCTGCTTTTATTAATGTGGTATATCACATCAATTGCTTTGCAAATATTGAACCATTCTTTATATTGAATAAATCCCAATTGATTGTGGTGAATAAGTCTTTTTAAAGTATTGTTGGATTCAGTTTGCTAATATTTTGTTGAGGATTTTGCATCTGTGTTAATCAGGGACATTGGCCTGTAGTTCTGTGTGTGTGTGTGTGTGTGTGTGTGTGTGTGTGTGTGTGATTTCTTTATGTGGTTTTGGTATCAGGGTAATGCTGGCCTCATAGAATGAATTTGGAAGTTTTTCTTCCTTTACTAGTTTTGGAATAGTTTGAGAAGAATAGGTACTAACTCTCCTTTAGATGTTTGATAGAATTCCCCTGTGAAGCCATCTGGCCCTGGACATTTTTTTGTTGTTGGGATTTTCTTGATTATGGATTCAAATTCTTTGCTGGTAATTGGTCTGTTCAAATTTTCTATTTCTTGTTCAGTTTTGGTAGGTTATATGTTTCTAGGAATTTATCCTTCTCGGTTGTTAATTTGTTGGTGTATAGTTTTTTATAATGTTCTCTTATGATTATTTGTATATCTGTGGGGTTTATTGTTATTTCTTTTCTCTCATTTGTAATTTTATTTTTGGGTGTCCTTTCTCTTTTTGTCTTCATTATTCTGGCTAGAGGTTTATAAATTTTATTGATTTTTTTTTTCAAATAACTAGCTCTTGGTTTCATTGATATGTTTTACTGTTTGTTTTGTTTTTGTTTGTTTGTTTTAGTTTCTATATCATTAATTTCTGCTCTGATCTTTATTATTTCCCATCTTCTTTTCTTTTAAGGCTTTATTTGCTGTTCCGTTTTTAGATCCTTGAGGTGTAAGGTTAGATTGTATATTTGAGTCTTTTCTTGCTTCTTGAGGTAGAGCTGTATTGCTATAGACGTCTTTCTTAGAACTGCCTTTGCTGCATCCCAAAGGTTTTGGACCCACTTGTTTTCATTTTCACTTGTTTCTATGTATTTTTTAAACATTTCTTTAATGTTCTGGTTGACCCATTCATTCTTTAGTAGGATGTTCCCTAACCTCCATGTATTCGTGTTCTTTCCAGAGTTTTTCTTGTGGTTGACTTCAAGTTTCATAGTGTTGTGGTCAGAAAAGGTGCATGGTATGACTCCAGTCTCTTTAGATTTGTTGAGGCTTAATTTTGACCTGATATATGATTTATTCTGTAGAATGTTCCAGGTGCCCTTGAAAAGAATGTGTATTCTGCTGCTTTAGAATGGAATGTTCTGAATATAGCTGTTAAGTCCAGCGTGTCATTCAAAGCCACTGTTCCTTGTTGATTTTCTGCTTAGATGATCTGTCCATTGTTGTAAGTGGGGTGTTTAAGCCCTTTACTATTATTGTATTTTTATAAATTAGTTTCTTTGTGTTTGTTATTAACAAATTAGTTTCTTTGTGTTTATATATTTGGGTGCTTCTCTGTTGGGTGTGTGTTTACAGTTGTTATATCTTCTTGTTGGAGTGTCCCCTTTATTATTATATTGTGTCCTTCTTTGCCTCCTGCTACAATCTTTGTTTTTAAATCTAGTTTGTCCTATATAAGTGTGGCTACTCCAGCTTTATTTTGACCTCCATTTATATGATAAATGTTTCTCCATCTCCTCACTTTCAATTAGCAGGTGTCTTTAGGTCTAAAATGAGCCTCCTGTAGGCAGAATATAGATGGGTCTTGTTTTTGTTTTTTTTTTAATCTATTCTGTCACCCTCTGTATTTTGATTGAAGAGTTTAGTCCATTTACATTCAAAGTAATTAATTGATAGATATATATTTATTGCCATTTTATTGTTTTGTGGTTGTCTCTGAAGATTTTCTCTGATCCTTTTTTGTCTTTCATGGTTGAGACTTGCTGGTTTTCTTTAGTGATGTATTTGGAATTCTCTTTATTCTTTGCATATTTATTAGTAGGTTTTGACATATGGTTACCATTCGGTTTGTATATAACCTCTTCTGCATATAGCAGTTCATCTTAAGTTGATGTTCATTTAATTTTGAACCCATTCTTCTTCTTATTCTCCTCCTCCTCCTTCTTCTTCTTCTTCTAATTTTTGAGAGAGAGAGAGAGAGAGAGTCTGTGAGTGAGGAAAGGGCAGAGAGGGAAGGAGAGAAAGAATCCCAGGCAGACTCCATGCTGTCAGCGCAGAGCCCAGTGTAGGGCTCAATCTCATGAACCATGAGATC